TAATATCTAAAAGGAAGGAAAAGGGAGAGGTGTGAAATTTTCGGATCGTCGTTTATTTTATTTCATTTTATTTCATTTTATTTTATTTTATTTATTCTGTTTTTTATATTCCTTTTTTTTTTTATTCTTTTTATTTTTTTTATTTTTATTTTTATATTTTTATATATTATTATTCGATAATAACTTCGTTGTCGAAGAGTCCGTGAAAAGTAAAAAGTATAAGGGAAAGGAAATATCAAAGAAAATTAAATTTATAATATTCGAGGTGATTTTTATTATTCTTCCTTTTTTTTTGTTCTGTTTTTTTTTCTTTTTTTTTGTTTTTTTTCTTTTGTCATTTCTAATACCAAAATTTCGATACATTGTGATCAATTAAAAAAAGACAAAGTGATAATCGATTATTGTTAAGAATTATAAAAGAATGAACAAAAGAGAGAATTAGAATAAAATCGCGTACTGACTGAATACAAAAGAAATCTTATCTCGAAATCGATAGAATTTTTAAATCAAATTCATTTTAATAATCGACCGGAGTCAAATGATTTTCTCAATGGATTTTTTTTCACCATACTTTGCATTATCATCGTAGGTAGTGAACAGCTGATCGAAGGGATTGAGGATGATCGGCCATATACTTCTTACACGTACTTCTTCTTCTTCTTCTTCTTCTTCTTGCCAAGTTTTTGTGCAGTGTTAAAAAGAAAAGAGAAAGAAAGAAAAGAAAGAGAAAGAGGGATATAGCGAGTGGGAAAAAGGGAGAGATAGATAGAGAGAAAGAGAGAGGGAGAGGGAGAGAAAGAGAGAGGGAGAGGGAGAGAAAGAGAGAGAAAGAGGGAAAAAGGTTTGCCCGACCCTCAGTTGGAAGTGAGGATCTAGGCAGTGAGTAATAAAAGCTCTGATAACTTGCCAGATCTAACTCTTCCAGCTCAAGGTTGTGCGGATTATCGTCGTCGATCATCGAAATTGATTCTTCCGACTTTCTTGATCCAAGGAATATGATCTCGCGTCGAAAATAAAATAAGAATAAAACATATATATATATACATATATATGTATATATATGTGTATATATATCAGGTGGACCGGAAAGTAATGTCACTTTCTTAAATTAAATTCAAACGAATAAAGTTTTAACAAGTTTTTATTTTTAATCACAATCAAATATCGACATGCGCAGAAACGACATTACTTTCCGATCCACCTAATATATATACATATATATATATATATATATATATATATATATATATACATAGAGAGAGAGATAAAAAAAAATAATTAAAGATCTACACGCTTTGGAAACAGGTGTCTAGGTTTAAGTGGAGAAGTGGTCTCTACGCTTTGTTAATTAAGTGAGATTCAACTCCTCCAACTTATTCCTGGTTCTTCCTTGTCATCGTCCAATCGAAAATCTAATCGACTGTAATTATTAAATCCATATCAAGGATCGAAAGTTTCAAGCGAAATTCAACGTAGATTAAAATTTATGATATCTTTTAAAAATTTATTATTATCAAAAGTGATATTAATCGAACATTTAATCATGGATTACACGATCTTAGCTTAGATTAAGTCCTTTTAACTAAGAACGAATAAAAAAGACGAATAAAAAAATAAAAGAATCTCTGTAATTTTTTATTCTGAGCAAGCTTAACTCGAACGAACCGCATCGTATATGCAGACAAATTATAATAAATCGTTTATGAAAATTATTAATTATTTAAAATAAATTATTTATATACAGATATCTTGGGAAAAGAGAGAAAAGAGTAAAAGAAAAGAAAGAATGAAATATTAAAACAAAATTAACAATTTTAATTAAGAATAATAAATGTAATTCGTATGTACATGTGTGTGTGCGTGTGTGTGTTTAAAGCGATGTTACCACTTTCGTTGTTATTTATTTATTTATTTATTTATTTATTTACTTTCATGCTTTTGTATAACCATATAAAAATATACATATATACATCCTATCCTGGCAATCGACTAAGTACTACTTTACACGCATTAATTCACGATTCAACGTTACTTCTTTTATTTGTTTGTTTACGTTATAAAATTTTTTATTTATTTTTCCCTATACATATGCATTATATTTATAATATGTATATATTATATATGATCGATATAATGATGATAGATCGCTCGCATAGACGAAGAATGCGTAAACGCTCTGCTAACTCTCGAGTACCTGATTCAACTCTGTCAAGTAACAGCAATGGAAAATGGGAACGAAGTTATTTCTGGTCAGGGCTTTCAAACTTTAAGGACGAGCGATCGTAGCGTAGATTCTAATGGACACGCGAACACGACAGGATGCTTCAAAGGATCGACGATGATCGACGAAAGGATTCATCACATGCACTTTAGCTTCGATGCTCTCAGCATTCTACCTAAGTGCCAACAAGGCGAACTCTTGTTCTCCATGTTTGCTAATGGTTCGAGTTGGATCTTCCTTTTTTTTTTTATTTTTGTCCGATTAGAATTTCATCGACGATTCTAAAATTATCGTCATTATTATTATTATTATTATTATTATTATTATTATTATTATTATTATTATTATTATTATTATTATTATTATTATTATTATTATTATTAGTATTATTATTATTATTATTATTATTATTATTATTATCTTTTTTCTTCCTCTTTTTAGTTTTTTTTTTTTTCGATAATAATAAAATAGTTTAGTTTGAACCGATGTATACCGTATCGTGATTTTTATAATAACGGTAACATAGATTAAATTTTCCTTTTTTTTTTTTCCTTCGTTTCGTAAGAATGATTACGTTGCAATCACGTTTTTATCTGATTGGATTTTAAGACGATTCTAAAATTATTATTATCTTTATTCTTCAAGATTTTTTTTCTTAAGTAATCGCGGCCGAATTTATAACGTACAGTGATCTTTATAATACTGATTTTATTGTCTTTAGAATGATTAGAATTTTTTTCATTTATTTATTTATTTATTTCGTTATCTTTATTTAATGAAACTGATATTTTGATGATAATTAGATGACGATTCGTTAGGTTCCGATCATGCCGAGGAAGGAAGACAAAGTGCTAACAAGATTCTAATGGAAGGATTTCTCAAACGCGTTAAACATTTACATAATAAAGAACTTCAGTTGACGAGTACGCAGTCGCAAAAATTTACCGAGATGCTTTTGAATAGACCTCGCGACGAGGAATCTAATTTGGCATATTTTTCGAAAGGTAAACGACAACGTATGACGTTTCTACGTTGCTTTATTAAAAAACACCGTAGTAGTAATAGTAATAGTAGTAGTAGTACACTTAAAAAAAAAAAAAAAGAAAAGAAAAGAAAAAGAAAAATTACGCGTTAGAAATAGGAAAAAAAAAAAGAAATAATTCAATAAAAATAATTACAAATGTATGACGAAATATTCCTTTTGATTAATTTTGCAATGGAAGGAAAAAAGGAGAAAGAAATAGTTGAATTTCTTTTCAGAACGATATAAAAAAAATGAGATTCCTTCAGATTATCATCCTCATTGGCGTTGCTTCGTTAAAGGCATAAGTCCGACCCATGTGATAATGACTATATTGCCAGCATCAGAGAAGGACGTCTATCTAATAGCATTTCCTCAAAATCAAAACGAAAGTGATTTAAGCAATAGAAATAGCTTAGAGGAACGTCAATCGACGAACAATGACGTTAACGAGACTAATTCTTCTGACAATATATACGAAAAAAAATCTGACTCGTTCGAGCAAACCTCATCGGTTAATTCTAATTCTAATCGATCTAATACACCTCTCGACAACGCTAAAACTACCGAGTCCGAGGGTCTTTTAATTCCTGTTTACGTTTACAATTGTTCATTGGCATTATTGATCGATGCATTGATTGAAAAATTGGAATCACCACGTAACAAGGATATTTATCAGGATCATACGTTTCGCGTCGGTCAAAAAGATCGTGAAGAGTTTCTTCATTCAAAATTTATTAACAATATGAAGACCTCATCGCCCGAACCGAAAAGTGAAGATTCGGATAATGCAACAAGCGGTAGGTTCATTTATATAGAATGAATTAAAATTAAAAAAAAAAAATTATAATCATCAGATAAATGAAGTGTCATAACATAAAGATAATAATTGTATTTATTTATTTATTTATTTATTTATTTATTTATTTATTTGTATTTCTTCTTTTAGATCAAAAAAGTCTGATGGAACATTGCAAGATGTTAAACTTCGCCCATTGTCATTGTTACGTAGCAGCAGTTTACAAATCTTTAGCACTTCAGAAACCACTCAGTTACGAGGACATGGAAGCAGCAGTCGAATTATGCGAGGAAAGTTTGATAGAAATCGATATAACTAATTATTTACAAACTGTATGCAGACATTTGAGTACATCCCAAGATGGTAACACGTTTGGTCAATTGAAGAGTAACGTTTGCTATGACGTCAAACCGTTGCACAATTTGATAAAAGACAAATTCGAGGGTATAATAACTGTTGCGTTCAGACCGGTACCAGCTCATTCAGAATTTTATTATTGCTCGCCATTGTGGATTTCGAAAAAGACCACCGTATGTTATTTTCCATGTTTAGATTTCATTATTTTTTTTCTTTTCTTTTCTTTTTCATGAACTCTATCAATTAATATTACTTTTAGGGTCGAGTTAATTCAGAGAGATCAGATAGTGACGATGATTTAGAAACGTTCGCGTTTCATTCGGAAATTAAATTGGACGACTCCTCTTGCCAAGGTATCGTTTTATTACGTTCTAGGATAATTATGAATCTTACTTGTATGTCGTTGATCGATTTATAGGAAAGGAAGATGGAGATGCAACGAGTACGAATGATTTTAGAAAATTACCAAATTGCGTCTATGCTGATTCATTTAATGACGATGAACTACGAGAAGACAATATATCCGATAAGGAAGAACCACTTTTCTTACGATTAAGTTGTTCGGTATATTTTCGTTCAGGTTTGAAAAGTACACCTGTCAATTTACTACCGACTTGTTTCAGCGAGATCGTTCAAAGAATGGACGTTCAGAAGGATGAAAATGAGACAGATATGAATTTGAATAATCTTAAGATTTCCTTAGGCATAATATGTTTGAATTTACCAAGAGAAGTCGTTGACGTTACTGCAAAACGTTCTAGAAACGTGAAAAGTAATAATAACTTTTATGACTCGGCTCTCGAGAATGTTCACGTTGAGTACGAACGTAATTTGTCTAATGAAAAGAAGTCAGAAAGTTTGCCGGAAAGTATGAAGCATCTTCCACTTTATCAGCACAGTGCCATCACCAGTTTGACCTATGAAATCGAATGGCTGCTGCAAGACGAAACGGCTACGGCACTTTTGGATCGATCACCGCCAACCGAAAGGACATTAAAGTTCGTAGCTCGTCACGTCTCAGAGTCTACCGAACGAACGAGTTGTTCTATGGACAAAGTGCCGCTACATTTCGTATTCCCATCGGAGAATAGCGTTACGAAGTTTTTAGAAGAGTTAAAAAAATTGCAAATCGATCGTTACTGCATTCAGCAAGAGGGTTCACTATTTTATTTTATTAAAAATGCGGAAGACCCATTCGAGGTGACTGCCGATAATGAAAAAGTTTCAAGTTTGAAGGATCATGCGTTAATCAGGAAAGGTAAAATAAAAGATAGGATCATTACGATATATTCATAAAATAATTCATACGAAGAGATGATAACTTTATTGGAAGTTAATTATATTGGAGGGAATGATTAATTTCTTTTTTTTTTTTTTTTTTTTTTTTCTTTTTTCAAATTTAATTTAACTTAACGAGCGTATACAAACGTTATTGCAGACGATACTATCGAAAATATCGAACAAAACGTGTCTGTGGAAGTTCGTAATTCTGGTAGATTCGACACGGCCGATCCACCGGGTTGTTACTCCGACATTTCTAGCATAGGTGAAGGTAAAATAGGTACGGACGATGGTTATGAGGGTGATAGTAGCAATTCCGAAGACGATTTGCAATGGTTGATAGAACTTGACAGACGTAGAGATTGCCTTCCAAATTTTTGGCTAATTTTGCAGGTCGAAAGTAGCCACGTCAATGTATATTTTCACTGCAGGTTTGTTAACGATATGTCCTATGTATTTTCATTTGATATTGTTAATTATCCCTTCGTTCTTGTTAATTGATCATTCTCTGTTGAAAAAGATTTCTAGAACTGGTCTCGCCCGAAGTAGATTGTTACAAGCAAATACAAACGATGCTGGTGACGCAATTGAAAGTGATATGTCGTCGAGTGAACCAATACTTGCTTCTTCAAAATCTTCACGATACGCGCACGTGCGACGTACTTTTGGAACCGGAAGTAAACGAGGATCACGTTTGGAGAGGCGATACTAGCAGCGAGTCAGGTGGTTCGTTACAGAGCAATAGCTCGATCCTTAACTTTACAGCGGGCATGTTCCGTTGTCCTGTAGTTTGGGAAGTACCATTTTATCTGCATCCTCGTTTGAAAACCGGACCAGGAAGATCTGGTCTCTCTCGAGGTATAAAAGCGCTCCATGGTGTTTTGAATTGGTTCTCGGTAAACAATAGGAGTAACATGTTCGTTTATCAAGAAAATAATAAGAACGTGTTTTACTTGAGACTTCACGAACAGACCAACGATGGGAAGCCTCTTCAGAACAAGCTTTCAGAGAGCGATGAGAAACTTGCGGTTTCTAGGAGCAACAGTGCAGCTTCGTTGTCGCAAGCTAAAGGGATTGACAGTGCCAACGATCATTCTCTGTCTAATGACACAAGACCCAGAGTCCGATCTTTCGGTGAAAAAGAATCTGACATATTGAACAAGGCTGGGGATTCGATAATATTGAAGGTACACGGTATATCCGATGCTGGACCTTTGGTAAAATGCGATCTCGTGCAGGTTTTACAAAATCGTCTTGACGATGCCGTATTCGAAGTATTGTCCGTAATGTTGGCGCGCAATCCTATGTGCAAATTGACACCGGCCGACGTTCACTTCATTCAAAAACCATATAAAAATCCTGAATCCATAGTACAGTTATCCGTCCAACCGCATTGCCTATTACACATGGCAGCGTTAGGACATTATCTCAGACAAAATTTATTACAATTTCTATATATACCGAAATATACCGATCACAGAACCTGTTATCACTTTCAAGATTATTCTCAGCCAGAGGGTTCCACCAACAGGGTCGCCGAATCTGATATATTTTTATATAATCAAAGCCCATCGAGTGGTAGCAAAGGTATAGCTTGCATCGCTTTGGCAATCGCCGATTCCAAGAGCGAAACACGTCAGATCGACGAGGCATTGTGCGAAACGAATCTTCGTGAACGCTTGAAGAGCGAGAATTTTGAAAATTTGGTGTCTACGTCCATATGTACGAATAAGAGTAACGCTAAACAGCTGGTAGAATTTAGAATATGGAAACAGGGTCGGGTCAATTTAGAGGCATTGCTTCAAAAATTGTGCGCTGCTGTCAGATATGCAACTTGGGATTTGGTTACGGAATACAATCTTTTGTCTACTGCTCTCACCGAACCATTGGAATCTATCGATAAAGACAATTCGACGGATGATAAGGAAACTTTTCAACAGAACAAACAGATTCAATCGAAGGATCCTGAGAATATCGTCATAAATCAATACGAATTTGGCGAGGAAGGCAAACTCAATGAGATTTATCATACGATATTGACTAAATGGTTTAAATATGCTTTGGACGTTGGTGTACCCGCTGTTAAGAAACATGAGGTTATAATTCATCATAGACACTCGATTCCCGTTATTGTCAGAGAATTGCAAAATTTAATACGGGGCCACGCACCTGATACATCTAGCAGAGCATTCGTTTTACGCGATCGTCAGCCATTTCTCAGTGAAACAGTAACCTGTACGCCAAATCTCTTAGCGTTCTGTGAAAATACCGAGGCTAGAAAAAGATGGGTTACTAATGTTAACGAACGCGAGAGAACGTTATCTCCTGTTTATGTTTCGTGCGATTTTAGCAAACACGAGCAAGGAACTTATACGAATTGTATTTTGATCGCCAGAAATTTTTATCAATGGAAGGTTTCCTTTGGTAAGACGATCGAAGAGGAATTACTCGTTCCCAAAGGTAGAGAAAAATCATTATCAATTATCTTATTACTCGCATATGTTTGTAATGTAAAGCAATGATGTATGTGTACATACATACATATATATATATATATATATATATATTTTTTAGATCAAAAATTATTGCAAAAATTCAATCCATTGATACTACCGTCCGACTTTGTACCAAGACAGCGGATATTATTAGCTGAAATCCAAAGTGGCAATGTAAATTATCATACTCTTGTCCTCCGAATAAGAATTCTTCTCGATATAATAAAAAAAAAAAAAAAAGAAAAAAAAAAGAAAAAAAAAATAAAAAAAAAAAAAAGCAAGAAAAAGAAAAAAACATGTTTATATTATTTCAGATAACGTTTTATATGTACAATTGGTCGAAAGAGAGATCAGAAAAATTTATCAAACAAACTACGAGTTTGGGTACTTGGCTGTCGTCGAGGTCGCAACTCTTCACGAATATAATAATGCAAAAGTTGGGTATATTTCATCATCAGCCAACGTCGAATTATCAACAGGGCGAACAAAATAATACGCAGTATTATCAAATCACCGATATGGAGAGTCTAACGAAATTTCCTCACGCCTCGCACGGTGAAAATAAATCAAGTTCCAAGCAACATGGTAGGAGTAATCCTTTGCCATGGAATCAGCTGGTCGGACAAGCTGCGAAAGAAACGGATAGCAATGTTTATCATTTGAACGACGATATTGATCCTGTCGTGAAAACGGCATACGACTTGCAAGATTTTCGTCATCGTGAAAGAAAAGCCAAAGGTTTGCCTAATGAAACTGTTGCGTGTGTATGTATGCAATCATCAATGTTCTATCATGTCGATCCAATGAGTATTATTAATTTTTTTTTCTTTTTTTTTCCTTTTCTTTTTTTTTTTTTTTTTTTTTTCATTTTCTTTTTCATTTTTATACAGATATATAATTTTATTTATCTTTCAGAGGATATGAACAGATTATATACGATATGGCAGAATCGTAGTTCTGCCTCAAATATACCAGTTTGTTTCGATACATTGAACACGTTCAAACAACATTCTCGTTTGATACACTTCTGTCATACGCCTTTATTATTTTTACCAACGTGGCGTTTGCAGTCGGCCGCTACGAGAGATCACTCGTTAACGCCGCCGTGTTCTCTTGTCTCTAGTAACGTTGGTCAACAAGCGAACGAACAGACTCAATCGAAAGAGGACTCATCGAAGGACGTCATCGTGAAATGGCATAGAGAGCTTTGCAACTCGATGTTGACAGAATACAAACAGTACTTGCAAATTTTAGGATTCAGTTCGATTCAAGTCGAATCGCAAGACAAAACGTATGCTTAATTATCCTTCTTGTTTTCTTTCTTTCTTTCTTTCTTTCTTTCTTTCTTTCTTTCTTTCTTTTTTCCTTTTCTTCTTCTAAATAATCATCAAATTTTTTCTTTCTTCCCGTGTCGTACGACTCAGGGAGACGGAAAAGACGCCGCATCATACGCATTATTTAAAGAAATCAATGTTGGGTGGAGTTTTGTTGTTTGAAATTCACTTGGCCCAACCATTTTTCATTGCCAAGTTACGTGTCATCGAATGCAATCGTCTTTCAACGAAAACTAACAGCGCCATAATCAATCAGGTAAGTATTGTTAAATAAATAATCGCATAAGCATCGATTATTTTTATTTTCTTTTTTTCTTTTTCTTTTTTTTTTTTTCCCCCTTTTTTTCAACTTACAGTTCGTCTTGAGCTTCGTGGATGCCTGTGATAAAATAAAAATCAATATGCACTTGCATTCGTTCACATACGATTTTCATTTACGTTGCATTCATTCTTACATAGCAGGCAAAGGTTTCTGGTCGTTACAACAGGGTTATCATCTGACTCATTTTCTCGATGATTTTAACAAATATTACAGCAAGGCACCTAACTACGCAAGAAATCTCGTTTACAGCGGTAAGATTTCGATTCTTTCGAAGGTCAATCGATATTGTTCGTCAAATCGTATTTTTTTCTTTTTTGGTTTTTTTTTGTTTTTTTTTTTCTCTTTCTTTTTCTTTCAGACGTGATCAATGTAAGAAATTTAGCCACGCCAGCTCGTATGTTATATACTTATTTATTAGCACACGAGGAAACTTATGGTATGCGAGCATTCGTTATGTCCAACGAACCTCAAGAATCTCAGGAAGGCGAATACGTTTTGTTTAAACTACAGAGCACACCGTTGGTCAGTTATTGCGACGCCCAAGACACCAGATATATCGACGACTTTGACGTTGCTCTGATAGTTTCTAGAATCGAACAGCCACCGGAGATAGAAAAAACGGAGATAACGTTGAAATATTATTTAATGTTAACGAGCAAACGTGAGCTCTATCCTAAACGAGATTTGGAGAATAATAAGCTTGGGAAATTTCGTACAGTTTATAGCGTTATCAAACTGGGTAACAATTCGCAGCCTGGAAATTCCTCGGAATCTAATTCGATTTCAATGGTAGTGCAACCGCCTATTGTTAAAAAAAGTTGTAAACGCGAAGCGAACAATCCAACGGATTCGGATTCACGTAACAGCGATTTAGATTCAAACGATAACTCGAAGGAATCCGATGAGAGAACAACTACGATAAACAATTTAGCACCGACGCCGCCGCCTGTACCAAACTCACCCTTAACGCAAAGTCACAATATCCTTAATACGTCGAGTTCGTCGTCGTCGTCACCGCAATTGGTACAGATACGTCAGGAATCCGTAAATTATTTGGGATATTATTCGTCACACGAACAATTGATGCAGCAATTGATCATGTCCCAAGCTCAGGCAGCTAGACGGCACATAATTGATATGATAGAACGTGGTGCTTCTCAATGCAGGACCCATCTGCTTTGGAACAAATTATTCGAAAATAAATCATCCATGACTTATACGGAATTCATGGAATTATGTTCATTGGCTCACGTCGAGCCACTTTCTCATTTGGAGCCTAGGCTAAGTTCGCTAACCAGCCAACCTGTTTCTTGGTATCAAACTTTGACTAAAGTTCTTCAAAATAAATATCAAGAATATCATAAACAATTTAGTACTGCCGATGGGAATATAACTCATCATCTTATATTACATCATCGTTCTCTCCAAGCGTTCACTATGTTGACGATCGATCTCCATACGTCAAGAGGGGTATAAACGTGTTAATTAAAAAAAAAGAAAGAAAAAGAAAAATATGATTCAATAATTTTTTAATCGATCGATAATTTCATACGATTTTTTATTATATTTTTAGGATTTATACGTCGTTTATCGTAAATCCGCCGAAGTCACAAATACACCCGTCAACATGGAAGATGTTTACAGTTTGATCGAAGGATTCATTAATGCCTGTTGTTTCCATTTATGGACTAGTCTGTGTAATCAATGATCAGACGTAAAAAATACTCGAACGACACATCGTGGATTTAATACGTACTTACGATTATTCAATATGATCATTAACATCGTATACCATCGTAAAAGTTGACATGTTCTAATCGATACGTTGGTATTCTTGTTATTGCTGTTGTTATAAAACTTTGCCGTTTCATCGATCGTTAATCATCGCTGCCATTGTCGTCGTTATTATTATTAATACTATTATAATTATTATTATTATTATTATTATTATTATTATTATTATTATTATTATTATTATTATTATTATTATTATTATTATTAACATCGTCATTAATTAATTTTAAATTTACGCGACTTGTATATAAAGAATACATAGACATTTTTCTGTTACGTACCAGCTGTACTCTACTGTCGTCCGACATTTTTGGAAATCTTGATAAGGATTACCTATTTCTGAAAAATTCCATTGGAATCGACAATAGCGTCGTTTAGAAATTTTCAAAATAAACCGATTCTCCTACCTTCTCCTCGAACACATATGTACAGTACATACATATGCAGATACGTGTACATATATATATATACTTGTAGATAAACATGAATACATAAAGAACTAAATCCATCAATCGATGCGCAACCGATTCCCAAAGCATATTTACAAATCCAAGAATCGTAGAATATGTAGAACAAGAGAACACATAATTTATGTAGAATACATACATATATATATATATATATATATATATATATATATATACTCTTTGTGGTATAGAAATTGAAGAAGTATCGAAGGCAGGTTAATTACTAACAAATTAGATTGTCCGGACTTCTTTTTGGGGCTTCCATGAAGGGAATCGAGAAGCCAACCAGGTGACACATCGCTTCAGTATTTTTCTATCCTCCGACTAGGTAAGTATTATTCTAACTCTTTCTCTCTCTCTCAATCTCTTTCTCTCTCTCTCTCTCTCTCGCGCGCGCGCGGTCAATCATAATTTTTCTTATTATTTTTCTTCTAATTAATAATCTGTGTAACTAGCGAGTGCGATCGATATTTATTAACTGAGGTGCGTTGTAATTATGTGTTTTTGTGGAAATTTTTTTATCAGCCTCCTCCCCTCGTTAACTTCGATGTTTACTTTGCTTTTCTAGATAATAGAAATCTCTTTTGAAAAATTTTGACAAGATTTGTTTGTTTATTCGAAAGAATATTTTGAAATAAATGAAAAGAAAAAGGATATTTAAGTAAAAAGATCGATGCATCCGGTAATATCGATCGATCACACGTTTTCAATTTAATGAAAAACATGATACGAATATTCTTGTCTGTATTTTTTTCTTTCTTTCTTTTTTTTTCTATAAAAAGTTAATCGTCCTTTTTTGCAATTATAATAATAAATTAACCATGACCATGATCTTTATAATATCTTTCTCTCTTTCCTTTATTTTTCTTTTTTTTCTTTCTTTTTTTTTTGATAAAAAATTAATTTGTTGTCAGGATCGCCAAAAAGGGCGATTGAAAAAGTAATAAATTTATTGAAAAAGTAATATTCTTTCATATATATTTTATCATACTTAAGAATAACGTGCGACAAAATATATATCTTTTAATATCTCAAATGACTCAGATCACTTTCATAATCATTGGCTTATATTTCTTATTAATGATAAAAAAAGAAAAAAAAGGAAAAAAAAAGAATAAATAAAAACGAGTTATTGCTATACGGATCAAGTATACATATGCCTATGCGCGTACAAAAAGAAGTATTTCTAGAATTTCTTTAAAAAGAGAAAAAGAAGAAAAAGAAAACAAATCCATTTGTAAAAGTAATCGAGAAATTTTGAAATTTCCTACTTTTCTTGAGATTAGCTAATGACCCAAGACATTTGGCCAAATCCATGAAGATTCTATCTCTCTATCTCAATTTTATCTACCTTTCAATCGCTTTCTTAAGAGACCTGAGGATTCTCACCAACCGAATAGATCCCATTTTCGATAAGAACCGAGAGTGATCGATAAAGATCGAGAGAATGAACGTTTGCTTGGAAAAGAAGGGTTAATATATATGGCAGGGATATCAAACACGCGATCTAACATAAATATCTAAATTCTATTATACTTCTTATTGATATAATATTTGTATAAAATTGAGTTTTATAATAACGTAAAAAGACACGAGTTCTGATGAATAATATAATACAAACTTTTCTTATCTACTATGCTTGTAATATATGAGGGATCAAGTTACTCGTTAAATATCAGTGCTTGTATTTTCAAAACATTATTGACATTTAAGAAAAGAAAAAAAGAAGGAAAAAAGAAATAAAATAATTTATACATCAAATTAATATTAACAATTTGATCGTATTAATTGTAATTGATAAAATAATTCCTCAATAAGTAAATATCTTTCAATTGATTCATTTAAAATTGATCGATCGAAAAGTCTAAGAAAATGTTAAAAAAAAAAAAAATTAAAATTATCAACCGTCTTATTATCTTTCTGTACCTTAGCACAGACAAAGTAAAAATGAAATTGAGTTGACATCTGATAATAAGAAAATTTAAAAAGGAAAAAAGGAGAAAAAAACAAGAAATAAATCACATATTGAAAAATATTTTGCAAATTCCTATGGATATTAGCTATTTGCAAGATTAATAATAAATTGATGTTCGACGTCATGACAAATTTGTTTGGAGATAAAAAAAAGAAAAAAGAAATATATATATATATATACAGAAATAAAGTTCGATATGGTTGCTATTTAAAGGGACAATCCTTCAATAAATTGACTACACTCGTATGTGACTTCATCCAAGCACATTCTTTATCTTTTTTCCCACTTTCCATAAATGCGTGTGTCCGAAAGCAGATCGCCCCGACTCTCTCAAACACACACACACACACACACATACATATTACTCTTCTGTTTTATTGATTTTCCCGCAGAGGCGCAAGCGCTACATCCTCGATTGCAACAAGGGGGGTGCGGCTGTAACCATGGATCCCAGTATACTCGCTACCATGGACAAGGACACATTGAAGAAACAGATCGAGAACATGAAATATCAAGCGGCCATGGAACGGTGGTCGTTATCGAAGAGTATCACGGCGTAAGTTATCAAAAATCTAATATTTTATATATATATATTTTTTTTATTTATTTTTTCTCCCTATTATTTACACAAGTTTTTATGTCTGCATTCTTCTTTTTATCTCATTCTCATCTATTTTTTTTCTTTTTTACTTTCTTCGTTCGATCCGTATCTATATGCATATATACATATACATATACATATATATATATATATATATATATATATATATATATATATGCATATATCTTATTTCAGTTTTTATCATCATAAAATTATTTGTATTAATTCTTTTTTAAATATTATTAACATGTTATATCATTCATGTTTGTTTGAATAAAACGCGATAAAAAAATTGGGTTAACTTAACTCCCCATTTTCATATACTCTCGTATCTGCTTCTTTTAGGTCAATCAAACTCCTATGGTATACTAATAATCTTGTATATATTACTTTTTTTCTCGGCGTCTTATCGTGTGTACGTGTGTACGTGTGTATGTGTGTGTGTGTTTGCGTGTGTGTAAGGTTTAAATGTGTACATTGTATGTACAATTTGACACCGGTTGCATCATATTTCTGTATTAAAATTTAGGTTTTTTTTTTATTTATTTTCATTTCTCTTTTTTTTTTTTTGTATTCTTTATTTCTTTCAATTTTAATACCACTCAAAGATCGTATATATCTTTTCAATACATTTCCTTATTTACGTATATATTTCTATTTTTCATTCTTCGCACTATCAATTTTTCTAATATTTTTTAATACTCAGACATCGTAATTGAAACTTCGAAGAAAACACAAAGTCTAATATCCTTCTCTTTATATAAATCATTAATGAATCATTTGTTTCTCTCTCTCTCTCTCTCTGTCTCTCTCTCTCTCTCTTTCTCTCTCTCTCTCTCTCTGTCTCTCTGTCTCTCTGTCTCTCTATCTTTCTTTCTCTATCTTTTTCTATTATATACATAAGGATACAAACGCATAAAAAAATTCGTTATAGTAAAATTGGAAATTAAAGAAGATTAAATTAAAAAAAAAAAAAGAAGTATTAAATTAAAAATAAACTCAAGAAATGAAAATCGCAATTGTTACATATAACAAAGTTCCGTTTTAATGTCACAATTATATAGGTAACACGCGTACATAAATACACGTGCAAACAATATAGGAAAAGTACGTGCACATATTACAAAGTTATAATGTATGAAAATTAAAAGAAAAATATTAAAAAGAAAAGAAATAAAAATTGCAATCGATGAATATAACAAAGTACCGTTGAAATGGCACAAGTATGTAAATATCAACATAACGAGTATGATCCCCATCGAAGGCTAATACAATCAAGGCTAACAATAAATGATCCTTGCTTCTCGACGACAAGAATGACGAAGAAGTCGTTGTGCTAAGAAAAAAAGAAAGAGAGAGAGAGAGAGAGAGAGAGAGAGAGAGAGAGAGAGAGAGAGAGAGAGAGAAAGAGAGAAAAAGAGAGAGAGAAAGAAAGAGAGAGAGAGAGAGAGAGAGAAAGAAAGAGAGAGAGAGAGAGAGAGAGAGAGAAAGAGAGGATATCCTTGGAACGCTCTCTATACGCCTTAACTCAAACTGTCACTTTCGGAGTACAAGCTCTCCCCTACATTCTAATACCTAATCAAATAGAAAATTGTTTAAGCTCTGGAGAAACGATCAGATGATTCATACAGGATCGTCAAATGAGTGCAAATAAATTATTCTCTTTGTGAAGTCTGAATTCGCATTATTTTCTTTATGATGTGCCGGCTGCTATTGTGTTAGATGTATTCTCGAAGAAAGATGGCCGCCATTAGCCGATAAATCATTCTTTTTATACATCCCTCTCTCTCTCTCTCTCTCTCTCTCTCTCTCTCTCTCTCTCTCTCTCTCTCTCTCTCTCTCTTTCTCTTTCTCATTGTTTGTGTACTTTCTTCCTTTTTTACTTTTTCTTCTTTTTATTGTATCCTCATTATTTTATTAAAAAATATTAAAGAATATATTTATAGTGATAGAGAGTATTTTTATAAAAATTATTATAGATATAATACAAACGTGATTTGTAATTAATAATATTATAGAAAATAACGAGAGGAATTAAATGGTAACACAAATTCTATATATATTTATTATTATGTGTTTTAATGTTTTTTTATGAGTTTGTTCTCTCTCTCTCTTTTTCTCTCTCTCTCTCTCTCTCTCTCTCTCTCTCTTTCTATATGTAAATCATTATTTATTATAATTAATTTTAATCATGTACTTTCCCAATAATCTCATATAGTTTTCTATTTTTGAGATATTATTTTTCTATCTTTTATCATTCATATAAGATTGTTTTATTAATATTTTAATTATTCGTAGAAATGTATTATTATTATTATCATTATTATTATTATCATTATTATTATTATTATTATTATTATTATTATTATTATTATTATTATTATTACTTTTCCTGGAAAATGTAGTTATAGATTTATTGTTCCCTTAGTTATATCCCATTATCGATAAAATAATTATACACAGGTGTTATTCTCGATATAGAAAATTAACGATTTTCATGTATCTACGTATGAGTGTGTATGTGTGTGTGTGTGTGGCGTCTTACAGACTTTCTCCTCTTACCAGCATATTTCTCTCTCTCTCTCTCTCTCTCTATCTCCTCTCTCTTTTTCTCTTTTTAGAGACTATCATGGCTCTTAAAGTGCATTTCTATGTGTTTTATGTATGTGTGTGTATGCAAACACACACACATAAATTGATGCTTCTTCTCACCCTTATCCTAAAGAAATCATTATGAAACTAGGATAAATTTGCCTTTAACTATCACGAATAGACGAAATAGGAAATGGTAATATCATCTCAAATACGAGTAGAACGATAGGTGAACGTTAAGTTCGAGTTGAGGTCGAGCGATCTCAACGAGAAGCGCCATTTTAAGGTTCTTTGTATTACGAAGGATTTTGTCTTTTTCGTATCTTTTTTTTTTTTATTTTCCTTTCACTTTTTTTTTTTTATTTCAGTTCCAACTTAGGAAATCTTCGCACTTTAAAATGACGGACGACAGCCGACGTATGGGTAGGGACACATCAACGTTATATTTTATTTTATGTATTTTCTCTTTTAATTGCAATATATTTTTTTTTTTTTTTCGTAATAAAAAATATAATTTTTATCTAATCAGTAGTATATGAACAAAAATAACAACAATAACAATGATGATGATAATAATAATAATAATGATAATAACAATTTTTAATGGTATTTATTTTTTATAATAAAAAATGAATTGTTTCATTTACAATAGAATTTATTTTTGTTTATTTTGTAACTTGATATATTTCCTATATAAATTTTTCTATTTAATTCTAGTACTTAGGTGCGCATCCGTTTGTTTCTTTTTTTTTTTTTTTTTTTTTTTTATAACAAGAAATATAATTTCCACCCAATCAGACGAACAATCTTAATATTTATTACATTTAACTTTTATTTGCGTTTGTGTTTTATTTTTCTTTTTTGTGTTATTATAATAAAAGTCATTATTAGAAATAAAGATTTATTTTTATCAAAATTTATAATATTCGCATATATAAGTGTACTTAGTAAGTAATAGATTTTTCTAATTATTGATCCAGTTGTAGTTGGTAAGCGTCTATAGTATTGCTTTGGAACGTTCACGTAACGTTCACCGAACACGTTTTCTTTCGCGAGTTAGTAGTTCTTCCTTTAAAGGGAAAGCCATCGACCGATAGAAAAAGAATCCCGTTTTCTGCCACTCGTTTCCGGACATCGTAAAATGTCGGTTGTTACGACGTTTAACGCAAAGAAGGTAGATGCAATTAAAAACGATTAGACAAGATCAAAAGGACTCATTGTCCTTTTCGATAAAATAAGGAACATTTTTAAAATGCTAATTAACGTACCCTAGTTCGTCCTACATTATCACGACTCTTTTGTCTCGTTCTTATCGATATTTTCTTTTCTTTTCTTTCTATATCTCAAATACTAGAGAATGAGAATAGAAAAGTATGTGAAAAATATGTATGCATACACATATATCTATATATATATATATATATATATATATATATATATATATATATATATATATATGTGTATAGATATGTATAGATATGTATGCATGTCCATAAGTACATAGACGAGATAAGACAAGAGAGAATAAGTTTCATCTTATTTTAAAACAGAAATTATGTTTCTTAACTATTTAGAAAGTCGATTCTTATTTTATTATCTTTGAAACGCTCTTTAACTTTTTTTTAAATTCTTTTCTTCTTTTTGATAAAATCATAAACAACACTCTGCAATTTTTTTTTTCTTTATTATTATATTATATTATATACGAATTTATTAATTATATTAATTATATTATATATATATATATATATATATATATATATACACATATATAAATTTGATTTTCTTTGCTCTTTCTTTTTTCTCTTTTTCTTTCTTCCCTTAATTATTACATCCACAGAGATTTTTATTTCTAAAATTTGTTATTAATCACATATCGATGTGAATGAATTACTACTATCGACATATTTTAAGCACATTAAATATTTTCAACGAAAACAATATTCTTTTAATTTTAATCAGAAGGTCAACCTGTCCCTTATTAACATATGACATTTCCCCGATTGAATTCATTCCCAAATATTTCATGGGGAAAGACGAAAAGATTCGGAGTGGGAGAGGAAGCGAGAGCAATAAAAAAGAGAAAGAAAGAAAAATTCAGATAAGGATGGTGATGACGTTATTAGCTCGGTCATTTGTAATTATACAAACATTTGCAATCGACATACGCATTTATCACGAATGTTAAACAAGATTTATTTAAAATGGCGATCGGCTGTTATCTTACCAATTCATTTCACGGAATTTAACATTTTAACGTGCGAAATCCAATCTAATTGTTCCTCTCAAAAGCATTCATTATATATAGTACAAGTTTTCACGTCGATATTGTGAGAGTTTCTCGTAGACGTAAATCCTCTCTTTCTCTTTCTCTTTCTCCCTCTTTCGCCATTGTTCTTTCATTTATCTTATGCGATTTTATCTTCTAACTCGATTCCTCACGATTTGTAATAAGTTACGAACGATTATTGAGAAACGTGATTCTACTGTCGATGCTGTGACTATCGATTTAAGCTAACTATTTATATACGACACAATATACTGGTTATCTATAAATTTTGAATATATTTATAAAAAAAAAAAGGCGAAATAATAAGCGTCTGGCACGACTTTCGTTGGATGACATTCGTTCTTTCTTTTCTTCTTTTTTTTTTGTTTGTTTATTTGTTTATTTGTTTATTTATTACCAACGAGCGAGCACTTTGATGAAATTATTCTTCCAAACGTTAAATAATCTTCTCTTAACCGTGAACCGATCTGCTTAACGGAGATCCAGTATCGCGATGATTCAGAAACGAATAAAAAAGGAAATCGAAGATATCGTGACGATGATGAAGAAGAAGAAGAAGAAGAAGAAGAAGAAGAAGAAAAAGATATCCTTAAAGAGAATCATGCCGAGACGAGAGTCGAGAGGTAATCTTGGTGAAAGGATAATTTTAAATAAAGATTTAAAAAAAATATCTACGAACGACGATGGTACGGACGATATTTTTATAAAAGATCTTTTAACGATTTGTCCTTACTTAGAAAAAGTGTAATAAAAAAAGAAAAAAAAACTTCTAATCTATACATTATGAAATTTATTATCTATCTCTCTCTCTCTCTCTCGTTTGTTCGTCATTAAAATTATAATTTATTTATTGTATTAAAATATATATTCTGCCAAAATGAAACAAAACAAAACCAAAAAACAAAGAAAAGAAAAGGTACGGACAATTGGATAAATATCGAATAACGATTTATTCCTGTTATTTTGGAGGAGTAAATAGAGTAAAAAAAAAAAAAACAACAACAACAAAACAAAAAAAAGAAAAAAAGAGAGAGAAAAACGAAAGAAAGAAAACGAAAATGGCATCAAATTTTTTTTTAGAAAAAACGAAATTCCTCGTTGGCGGTGGCATTCCAAATGGGCGAAGATGGAAGGAGGTAAAGAGGGAAATAATCTTTTATTCTCTACAACGTCGTTTAAAGAAAGAATGAAGTACTCGGCTCTCTCTCTCTCTCCCCCTTTCTCTCTCTCTCTCTCCCTCTCTCGTGAAAAGTTAGATTCGTGGCTAACGTTTGTGTTGCAGACGGTGTATACGACTCTCCTTGAACGCAAAAACGGAGTTAGAGTCCAGGTAGTACACCCTTTCACCGGGCGCGAGAAACGAAACGACAGGGACGCGACGCATACTAGACACGTCGTCTATGGTGTGCAGCCACGTTTCGAGAGTCCATTCTACCAAGACGGCAACTGCCGTTTATACGCCAGTCCATATAGCTATAGACTATATTTACGCTATACTATTTTCTAAGGATTGGAATGAACGCACTATTCTGCTCTCTAAAGAGAGAGAGAGAGAGAGAGAGTGAGAGAGAGGACAACTAGCTTTTGCTAGCAAGATATTTGCTGCTAGCCTACGGCATTCTCAACGGCCTGCTACGAGATTTCGTATCGTGATATATTATGTATATATATATATATATATATGTATATATATATATATATATATATATCGAGATTAAGGATTAAGGATATTATACTTCCGCAAAATACCATTCACTTGTGCGTTTTACTATAACTACAAAGAGATTTTCTCATAAATAATATCTATGAGAACCTAGAGACTCGGATTATCTAACTAACTAAATTGTTTATGTGAAAATTCGATCTAAATAATGTCTATTCTTTCTATGAGAAATAAAGAAGAAAAAATTTCTTTCGTAACGTTCAAATTTCGTTTTTAAAGTTACAAAAAAAAAATTTTTTTTCAATTTTCTTTAATATAATACCATTTTATATAATAATTTTCAATAACACTTATACTGATATATATATATATATATATATATATATATATATGTATATATATATATAAAATATTTTATGAGTTTAACGTTTAAAGTTTCATTTCGTTCCTTTGTCTATTATTCTCGAAGTTCGGTCGAAGGATACTGTCGGCTTCAACGTTTTGTCCATTCGCTTGGTTAGTCGCCTAAACGGGCAATGCAATGACTATAGATAAGTGCGAGGGAGGCCAGGATGCCACGTAGCAAAACCGATACCCTACTCTCTACGAGTGAATCTTCAAGAAGGAATATAATATTTTCATACACGTCCATTCTTTTATTTCCTTACATTTTGAATATATTTACGAATTTTTCTTTCTTTCTTTTTCTTTTTTTTTTCTTTTCTTTTCTTTTTTTTTTTTTTTTTTTATCGCACATCATATTGACTATCGATTGATTATTATCACAGGAGATCATTGACTTGTATTAATTAATTTTTTTCCTTATAACTTTTTCTCAACTTACTACGAGATAATTGCAAAACCAACATTCTTTTCTTTTTTCCCTTTAGATAAATGATCTGAAAAAAAAAAAAGAAAAAAAAATAAACTGACCGACTTTGATCGTTTCTTTTCTTTCACAGGATGAGAGAGTACGTCGAAGAAAATGAGAAGAACGACCCACTAATACATGCGCCTGACAAAAAGAACAATCCATGGGCCGAGAAAGGCAAGTGCATAATCATGTAAGAGGAGAATCGAACAGGGAGAACACGAAGAGGGAGAAAAGAAAAGACGGAAGCGAACGAAAGAATGAAAGAGAACGATGATGAAGATGAAGATCAAGAAGAAGATGAAGAAGGGCCGGTGTGTTTCATCTGCGACAGAAAAGAGAAAGAAAGAGAGAGAGAAAGAGAGAGGGGGGAGGAATAGAAAATGCATGCCAAAGAGACACTAATAAAAAAAATGA